AGATAGTTGACGCCTCACAATCGCAAACAGAAAATCAACCATTCAAACAACACAAGAACAAACAACTCACTGTACACAGATGCAATTGAATATATATATATATATATATATATCTGATATCCAAATTTCTTGTAATTAATTAATTAGCATTCCCGTGGAGATTCAATGTCCATGCATCGGCCATTTTGTGTTGTTCTTCGCAATCATGAACTCACTAGCAGAAAAGGAAAAGAGAAGTTAGAAAACAAGGGGTGTCATCAATTTATGCCAAATTCTCTGAAACAGAGAAGAGAGGAAAGTACTTAAAGAAAAAAGTCTGATATATATTGATTAGCTTGTAAAACTAACCGGAGAGAGCGAGTAAGGTCATTAGCTTTGTTGAAATCATTGTCTTCTCTAGCCTTGAGGATTTGAAAGAGAAGGGCAAGCTGAAAACGTGTCGCAGCACTCTGCTGGGAAATGAGCTGAGTCTCCTTCTTGAGGTGGTGACATTGGGATTCAATCATTTTAAACTTCTGTGTAACTTTTCTTTGCTCCTCCTTGATGCATTTTTGCTGATTACCAATCTCTTCCATCTGTTCCTTCAACTTTCTAATTCTTGGTTTTAACTTTTTCATTATCCCTTTTCTTTTCTGAATACAAAATCAAACCCTCAATATATGTGAGGTATAAAGTGCTACCAATTAAGCTTTTTCACAGACAACAAAATTAATCCCTGATAAAAACAACCAACAGCAAAATATATACCTGTTGCTTCGATTTGGGAGTCAGATCCGAAGTTGGAGAGTTTATGTTGCTTGGTGCCATAGGTAGCCTCCTTATTTGCCTTTCCATTTAAGTTCCATCTACCTAATTTATATACATCCAGAGGTGATCGAGCCTCATCTAGAAGGAACTTACATAGATGGATCTAGAAAAGCCGACAGAGAAACGTGTAAGAGTCTGCGTCTTTGTTTTTTTGGATGGCCAAGGATGGTGTAGGGTAAGCAAGTGCGTACCTATCCAATTTATATGTAATGAATATGACCAGGTTGGCTAAATAATTTTTTAGTATTATTATTATTATTTTTTTTATGAACTCTTCAATTTAAAAGTCACAATCTTAACTAAATGAATAATAACCTTAAGAGGAAAACGAGGGAGGAAATGGATATTGATCGCGGAGGAAGGAGACGGTACGGCAACGGCAACTCGACAACCAGTTTCAAGGATTTCGTGAACAGACTGCCAGCTTTTGACAGAGGATTACTAAAGCAATGTGAATCTTTCCATTTTGTTAACTTTCCTGAGGACTGGGGGGCGAAGTAGTTGTTTTACTTCATTAGAACGACCGTAAAAGCAGGTAGACTATGGGACATTTTCATTCCCAACAAGAGAGACAAAAGAGGCAACAGGTATGGTTTTGCCAGATTTTTAGATGCCAGGAATGAGCAGGAGATGAAGAAGCAACTAGGAAATATATGGATTGGTAACCAAAGGGTGGTTTTCAACTCGGCTGTGGAAAGAAGAAAGGAGAAGAGAAGAATGGAAGCAAAACCAGCAGACGAAGGAAGCTGGAAAAGTAACAAAAGGACAATCACTGCTGAAGATAAGAATACAGTGGAAGAAGGGAGTAGGAAGAGTCCAAGAATGACATATGCGCAATGCCTTCTCCAGCCGAAAGAAATGGCAAACTCCTCCGAAACAGGAAACAAAGATCCAACACCGTTGGAGTCAAAAGAATTTCCAAGGAGGTCTAACAAAGGAATGCCTAAGACTCCCAGTGTGAGTCAGCCTGTGTACAAAAAGGTGATTGAACTAAAGGACACAGATAAAGCTGAAGATAAACTGATGATGTGTGCAGTTGGGGTGGTTTTATTTCCATCTATCATCCCAAACCTCCCAGAAATTTTCTTTAATGAAGGTTTCCCTTCTATCAAAATTGCCCCTATGGGAGGTAACCTTGTTTTAATCGATGACAAGGATCCGGAGTATGTTAAGGAGCTGGTAGATGGGAATTTACAGTGGGTGGTAGCTTATTTTGATAGAATTAAGTACTGGGCTCCATCAGACATCGCAGAAGAAAGATTTGTGTGGGTGAGAATCCAGGGATTACCTATACATGCTTGGTCTGAAGAAAGCTTATCAACGATCGGTAACCATGTGGGTAAACTTGTTTCAATTGATGAGTGTACACTCTCTAAGGAATGTCTGGATGCAGCAAGAATTTTAGTATCCACCAAGTCCAAATTGGAGATAAATGAAGACTTCATCCTCAAAGTGAAGAATAACAGCTTCCACATTGCTGTAGTGGAGGAAAATTGGAGGACTGATCCATGGTGGCTGAAGAAAACTGTTAGCTCAATTGCTGAGTCAGAAGTGAGTTCAACGGCGTTCAACTTCGGTGAAGATTCCGGCGATTTTGACGGTGACAGCATGAACGGGTTAGAGCAGGACGAAATTCAAACAATGGCATTAATTGTTCTGACACAGTGCGCGGCTCAAAGAAGCTTGTTGAAATGGGCAAGTTTTGCAATGGCACTCTATCAAATCAAGAGTGTGGGGAACAGAGAGAGGAGCGAGAAAGCAGGGGAACAAACCGAAAGCTTACCTGATTGAGTACAAACCTAGATTCTGATGTGCAAGTAATCCAAGAAACGGCCCAACTTGGAAGCCCAGAAGACAGCAAAAATGAAGCCCAGTTGGTTAAGAACAAAACAAAAATGGGTGACGAGGAGAAAGATGGGCTTCAAGCGGACAAAAGCTCTAATAAGAGCCCTTCTCTACCGCCTGAAACGAGGACTGAATTAACAAAGCTAGTAACTGGTACAAAACGTGGAAGGAGGAGAAAAGCAACCATCCAGCCAGTCAACTTCGGTGGTGAATCCCCAGTACGCTCTCTATCGGACAGCGACATCCTATACAACAATAGAAGAATCAAAGAAGGCATGATTGCAAAGGAAGCGAAGAAGGTGCTGGATTTCGAGAGCAAGCTAGGAATTCAAACCAAAAATCAAGAAGAGCAGATCTTAGAAAGGTTCAGGCGAATGGAAGAGAGGGACATGCAGGGGTATGCTCGTGAGCCATAAAGGTAGGCTTTTCTGTCAATTTCTTCAGAAACCCCTATAAATGAAGTTGCTTTCTTATAATGTGAGAGGGCTCGATAGTGTAGTTAAAAGAAAAGTGGTGAGAAATATGGTGAGGAAAGAGGAAATTAATTTTGCTTGCTTTCAAGAAACTAAAATAGAGACTATTGACAAGGAATTTTGTGTATCTATTTGGGGGCATGAAAACTTTGATTGGGCATATAAGGCCTTGGTGGGTAGATCAGGAGGTATATTGTGTGTGTGGGACAATGATATATTTGTTAAAGAAACAGTTATCGAAATACCAGGAGCAGTGGCAATTTATGGTCTATGGGGACTAAAGAAGCAAAAGTGTTGCATTGTCAATGTTTATGCCTCGTGTAACAGGAACGAAAGGTTGGAGTTATGGGCTCAATTACAAAAGATGATTGAGGAAGATGATGGCTTTTGGTGTATAGTTGGTGATTTCAACAGTGTAAGATCAGAGGAAGAGAGAAGAGGAAGATCTGAGCATTCTCGCTACAGGGAGGACCTTAATGACTTCATTGAAAGTGGTGGTTTGAATGATCTGCCACTAACAAGGAGGAAATTCACTTGGTATAAGAGCGATGGGTCAGCAATGAGCAGACTGGACAGATTTCTTATTTCCGATGATCTTCTCACCTTCTGGGGTGACTACTGTCAAGTTGGATTAAATAGATCCATATCAGACCACTGTCCAGTGATATTAAAGAAGGTTAACAGTGACTGGGGGCCAAAACCATTTAGAGCTCTGAATTGCTGGGATCAACATCCAGATTTCATCAGAGTAGTTGAGGATATTTGGAAAACTACTGAGGTTGGGGGATGGAGTGGATATGTGTGCAAAGAAAAATTCAAACAATTGAGTAATAAATTGAAGACATGGAATATCGAAGTCTTTGGTAACTTCGAGCATCAGATTGCAGACGCAAAAGCAAAAATTAAAGGAGTAGATAGCAAGAATGAAGAAAATGAAATAACAGAGGAGGACATCTTGCTCAGAAGGGAGGGGTTTAGTGAATTATGGGAAGCATGGCAAAGAAGAGAAGTGGCATGGAAGCAGAAGACTAAGCTTGACTGGGTTCAGCAAGGGGATGCCAATTCTAAGCTCTTCCATAGAACTGCTAGTGGCAACAGGACCAGGAAATTGATTCGGGGCTTATATAAAAATGGGGTATAGATGGAAGAACCCAGTATAGTGAAGCAAGAAGTGCAGGATCACTTCAAAAATATCTTTCAAGAAGAGCAATGGGATAGGCCAAAGCTTGATGGACTGCAATTCAAACAGTTAGATGATGAAGACAGATTTTGGTTAGAAAGAGATATCTCAGAAGAAGAGGTGAAACAAGTAGTGTGGGAATGTGGAGGGGATAAGTCCCCAGGTCCTGACGGGTTCAGCTTCCACCTAATTAGATTTTTCTAGAATGTGGTCGAGAAAGATATTGTTGATTTTGTTCAAGAATTCTCCAGCAAGGGCAAACTGGTAAGGGGACTAAATTCTTCATTTATTGTCCTTATTCCAAAAAAAGCTAATCCTGTTGACTTAAAAGACTATAGACCAATTAGTTTGGTTAACAGTCTTTATAAAATAATATCGAAGGTGCTAGCTAACAAGATTAAGAAAGTTTTATCTAAAGTAATTAGTGGGGCACAGTTCGCATTTTTGGGAGGAAGACAAATCACTGATGGAATACTGATTTTAAATGAAGTAGTGGAGGAGATCAAGAGGAAAAAGGCTAGTAGCTTCATTTTTAAAGCAGATTTCGAGAAAGCATATGACTGTGTGAACTGGAATTTCTTAGATGAAATGATGTGGAGGCTTGGATTTGGTGAAAAATGGAGAAAATGGATAAGGGAATGTTTGCAAACTGCTTCAGTACCAGTTCTTGTTAATGGAAGCCCAACTGATGAGTTCAAAATGGAGAGAGGGATAAGACAAGGTGATCCCATTGCTCCGTTTCTCTTTTTAATTGTTGTGGAAGGCTTAAATGTGTTGATTGAATCAGCTGTAAGTAAGGATCTATTCCAAGGAGTCGATATAGGCCCTTTTGGCCTCAACATATCCCACCTCCAGTTTGCCGATGACACCGTTCATGGGGAAGGCAGATCCTACAAATATAAAAGCTGTGAAAGGGATGTTGAGATGGTTTGAACTAGTTTCGGGGTTGAAAATCAATTTTAACAAAAGTGTGATGTATCCGTTCTATGTCTCGGATGAGTGGGGAAGAATGGTAGCTGCTACTCTTAATTGTAAATCAGGGTCCATCCCATTCACATACCTTGGCATGCCAGTTGGGGATGTTATGTGCAGGAGGAAACCTTGGATTCCAGTTATTGACAATTTTACTAAAAAGCTGGCAGTCTAGAAAGCGAAACACCTGTCGATTGGTGGCCGAGTTATGTTGCTAAGGTCCGTTCTCTCTACCCTCCCTCTCTACTTTATGTCTGTTTTTAAAATTCCTAAAATTGTGCTGCATGAACTTATATGCTTACAACGGAAGTTTTTGTGGGGTTATTCAGAGGGGAAGAATAGTTTAGCATGGCTGAGTTGGCAGAAAGTATGTAGGGGAAAAAAGAGGGAGGTTTAGGAGTTCCAAATCTTGAGTATAGAAATATAGCTTTGCTAGGGAAGTGGTGGGACAGATTTGGGAAGGAAGAGAACAGCTTATGGAAGACAGTTGTTTCCAATAAGTATTACGGTGGTGACCTTAAGTGGGATATCAAACAATTTCAAGTTAGGAAATTACCTTCCTTATGGGGGAATATTGTGGCTATAGGTAATGAGGGGGATAAAGGCTTATGGGTATTAAGGGATGGTTTTATCTGGAAGTTGGGGATGGGTGACAAAATAAAATTTTGGTATGACAAATGGGTAGGAATAGATTCTTTGGATGTCTCCTTTCCTAGATTATTTAATCTAGCTTCGAATAGGAATGCTAATGTTATGGAAGTGGGTCAAATTTCTAATGGCTTATGGATTTGGAGAAATGCATGAAGACGTGAACCTTTAATCAAGGAAAGGAACGAAGAACGACTGCTAAAGGAAAGCCTTACAGGTGGGATCACATTCTCTACCCAACCCGACCAAAGAATCTGGAGCTTTGATACCGCCAATGGATACACAGTGGGCAAGGCTTACTCAATGATGGCTGGACAGAATAGTATTTTGGAACCAAGAATTTGCACAAGGCTATGGAACAGATTAGTACCAATTAAAGTCAATTGTTTTGGTTGGTGCCTTCTTCTCAACGGCCTCCCAACAAAATCTGGTCTTTTGAAGAGGGGTGTCAAGCTGGAAGAAGCAGAAACCATCTGTTGCATATGCAGAAGGGATCTCGAGGATGAAAATCATCTGTTCGTTCAATGCCCAAAGATACAGAGCCTATGGATGAAATGCTACAACTGGTGGGGGATTTCTCTATCTCTGCCCAACTCCATTCCCCTTCTTTGTGAAGCTCACAGCTTTGGGATCAAAAAGGTGGTAAAATTTGATGTTTGGTTTCTCATATTCTTGGTGGTCACATGGTCCATATGGTATACGAGGAACTCCATTATTCATAATGCACAACAGTGGGATGAGGGTAAGGCTTTTGATTTAATTCAAAGGAGGACTTTTGTATGGATAAGGGGGAAGACTAAAAATTCTATGTTCTCTTTTTTTCATTGGTGTAATTCCCCTAGTCTATGTGTTCAAGAACTTACTAGAAGTTAGTTTCGCATAGGCGTTAAGCCCCTCCTTTTTCTGAATTGGCTTCAAGTGCCTTATCTGTTATTATCATGTAAGGTGTTTTGAGACTATGGGTGGAGTACCCCTTGTACTCCGTATGATAATACATACTTTAATTCATCTAAAAAAAAAAGTCACAATCTTAACTAATTTAAAATCAAATCACGTTGTATTTTAAAAAAAAAAAACTCTCAACATATTTGTTTTTCGATTCATGATACTTAAATTTAAAACCTTATTTAAGAAAAGTCAAATTTTTTTCACTTGATTCGTACAGTTGCTCTAATTTAAATTCTATATGTAGTTTTAAATGATATATTTGTATAATA